CTCTTTCTCCCCCCCCCCTTCTCTTCTCTTCTCTTCTCTTCTCTTCTCTTCTCTTCTCTTCTCTTCTCTTCTCTTCTCTTCTCTCCTCTCCCCTCCCCTCCCCTCCCCTCCCCTGCCCTCCCCTCCCCTCTCCCCTCCCCTCCTCTCCTCTCCTCTCCTCTCCCCTCCCTTCCCCTCCCCTTCCCTCCTCTCCTCTCCCCTCCCCTCCCCTCCCCTTCCCTCCTCTCCTCTCCCCTCCCCTCCCCTTCCCTCCTCTCCTCTCCCCTCCCCTCCCCTCCCCCCCCTCCCTTCCCCTCCCCTCCTCTCCTCTCCCCTCCCCTCCTCCCTTCCCTCCTCTCCTCTCCCCTCCCCTCCCCTCCCCTCCTCTCCTCTCCCCTCCCCCCCCTCCCTTCCCCTCCCCTCCTCTCCTCTCCCCTCCTCTCCTCTCCCCTCCTCTCCTCTCCCCTCCCCTCCCCTCCTCTCCTCTCCCCTCCCCTCCCTTCCCTTCCCTTCTCTTCTCTTTTCTCTTCTCTCCTGTTTTTTGTGGTACTTTATACCTATAATCCTAGCACTTGGTGGACTGAATGAAGCAAGAGGACTGAGAACATTGCCACAAGAGCTAGGCCCACCTGAGCTAAAAACCAAAACCAACAAACAAAACCCCTGTTAATGATAAGTCTTTATAATTGTAGGTACCCATTAATAATTAATTAACAATTAATTTTTTCATCAAGAGAGCTAAGCCATTTGGGGTGCAGCATATTTGATCATTGTGCAAACCTATACTTGTGCCTGTCCTAAGTGGACAGAGACACTCCCTTTGTGGCTTGGCTGCTTTGAACACATGAACCTTCACATCTCAAGGAAAGCACACTCCAGCTTCCATCTCTGCTACCCCAGCTGCCTGCATCTCCGCTTCCCCCTTAGCCTTGATGGTGCTAGCCAGCCTGCACCTCCTTTTACCGGGACAAGGCGAGCCTAGGGGAAACCTCTGCACCTCAAGTAAAAGCTGTGATGGGTGCAATGTGAGGCTTGTGCATGGTCATTATGTAAGATCTTATTATCATGTTCTTAGTTCCATTTTATTTATTTCTTTGCCTCTGTCTCTGTCTCTGTCTCTGTCTCTCTCTCTCTCTCTCTCTCTCTCTCTCTCTCTCTCTCTCTCTCTGTGTGTGTGTGTGTGTGTGTGTGTGTGTGTGTTTGTATGGGTCCCAGGGACTAAACTCGGGTCATCAGTTTTAGCAGGAGGCGCCTTTTCTCACTGAGCTATCTCACCAGCTCCTATGTAAGACCAATGGTTGATAGTTAAACAGAAAGCATTGCTGCTATTGACGCAAGTTAGAACCCTGCTCCTTTGCATTCCTCCCACACCCATCTGGCTCTGTAGCTAGACTGCTCTCCACACTTTAAAAATATTTTTGATCACATTTATTTATGTATTTATTTAATGTGTATGCAAATACTCACATGCAACAGTAAATATGTGGAGGTCAGAGAACAATTTCTTTCTTTTTTTTTTTTTAAATAATTTAAGTTTATTTTATGTGCATTTGGTGGGAAGGTGTCAGATCCCCTGGAATTGGAGTTACAGACATGTGAGTGCTGGGAATTGAACCCAGGTCCTTTGGAAGAGCTGCCAGTGCTCTTAACCACTGAACCATCTCTTCCATCAGAGAACAATTTCTTAAGTGTCAGTTCTCTCTCCTTCCTCCAACAGGGTGCTGGGGATTGAACTCAGGTGGCCAGACTTGGTCTAAAGTGTTCGGGCTTAGTGATAAACGCCCTTACATGCTGAGCCATTTCATCATCCTGGTCTCTCTGTACTCTTTGATTCAGTGAGGAAGTCTGCTCCTGTGTGTTGCTCCTAAGAGTTGCAGCATGAGGCTCACTGTGGTGACAGCAGCAATAGCATCAAGAAGGGGACTGATCGGACCCAGAGAACAATCAGAGGGAAAAAAATGTAGTGAGCAGAAATAGCTAAAATGATGAAGGAGAAAAGGAGAGAGGGTGGCCAAGACCACAGAAGGTGAAGGGTTATGAAGACCAAAGGTGAAAGAATACAGGCCTTGGTCATGGAAAGTCTTCCAGGACCTTCCATACCTTAAGAGTAGTCAGCACTCAAAGGCTGCAAGTGGCTACTGTTGGGGACTGAGGGCTCCAATGCCCAGAATTGAGAGCTATAGCAGCAGCTACTATTAGGAAGCAAGTGTGTCATCTTCCTAGACACAGGGGCTGCAGACTTAAGTGACACTGACTTCTGCTAATGTGAATGACCATAAGAGAGATAGAGAGTACTCTAGCAGTGGTGAGCCAGACCCAGGAAAGCATGGAACACAGCAATAAACATCTTCCTAAGGACCTGGAACTATAAGTCTCTGTCTTCTGAGGCTCGGAGCCATGATAACCACTGATTCAACTTCAATTCCAGGACCTATCATGCTCTTGAGTTATAGAGACAAGCTTCTGAAGCTGTTGGACCAGTCCATGAACCTGGGACTCAAAGGCCTGGGATGCAAATCCTACTCGTGAATTCCATCCAGCTACAGCAAAAGGACCCAAGCTAGCTGATTGGTAATGAATTATGTCAAAAACTTTGTCACAGCATTGAAAGAATGACTACCAGTGAAATAAGAGATTTAGAATATTGTGCATTGTTGTAAGGTAGCTACAAGAGAAGACCATTCGGACACAGGCTCAGGCCAAGAGAAAGCCTGTATTAGCCAATCAACAACTGTTGGGTATTTACAATCCAGAGTTTTTCTTGGGTTGAGATTTTAAGCAAAGAAAAAACATCCTTGGAAGTCCAATAAACTCATTGGTTCTCCAGTGTAAACTTTGATGGAATTGTGCCTCAGTTTGTCATTAGGACTTTAGGTTGAGGTAAGTTTTATTCCCCTACAGGGAAGGGATTTTAGCAACAAAGAAACAGAAGGAGAGCCAGGCATGTTAGTGCAGACAGAGAGGCAAGTATTCTGTGTGAGTTTGAGACGAGTGAAGCTATATAGTAACACACACACACACACACACACAGAGGGAGAGAGAGATAGATTTCCATTATGATATGATTTTAGGAAAACAAAATGCCTGAGATAATGAACTTGAAAAGACAAAAGGGTAACAGCGCTTGTGATATGAAACTGAAAGAGAGTATGGAGGCGGTGGAAGGGTTAAGTGGGAATGGGGCTGGAAGATGAGGGGAGGAGAAAGAATTTTTTAAAAGTAAGGAGGTTTGATCTTCCCATGTTATACACAAATATCAACATATCATGTTATACTCCAGAATATATAGAATTACTGTCAATTAAAGCTAATTTTTACCACACATGGTAGCGAATACATGCAATCCCTGGACAAGGGAGACTGAGGCAGGAAGATCTCAAGTTCTGTCTCTCTTGAAATGGGAAAATGAATGAAGGTGTGAATGAACGAATAAGCAATACTCATTTAAAAAAGAAAAAGGACAAAATGGGCCAGCAGGATGGCTTAGTTAGTGAAACTCTTGCAATGGAAAACCCAAGACTTGCGTAACAGTCCCAGAATCCGTGTTAGAAGGAGAAAACTGCATGAAATGGTTCTCTATTTTTCATGGCCCACACACCTTTAATAATGTCAAAAGAAAAACAAACAATGACGCCCCCATCTCATCAGCTGAGTCCCCCCAAGGCAATAGGGCCAACCCACAATCAACTGAAACCTTTTTCACCTATGATCCCAAACAATAGTCTATTTTTTAAATTGACTATCTCAGTATTTGTCAGGTGATAAAAAAGTTGACTAATATACTCTGAGTTGAATATACATGAATATGCTCTAAGCTGACCTGACAATTCAATTTTGATTGGGTCTTAGGTATTTTATCCCTGCAAAGTTGGTGGAGACATGTATGAAAGTGATTGTAGTAGTATCATTTATGGTAGCAAAATCTGGAATATAAATTCCAAGAGGGAACAGTGGATAAATTGTATATTAATTCAATACCATGAACACATCTTGAAATGTTAAGTTTAAAGTTAACTTGAAGAATATGAATTGTAGATTGCAATTCCATTCTCATAAAATTCAAAATATATGTATACACACCGACTTCAACCTCTGGCCCCCACATAGGCCTTCATGTGTGTGTGTGTGTGTGTGTGAAAACACACACACACACACACCCACACACCATAGAAATAATAAAAGAAATGCACCCATTCATGCACACCCTCAAATAACTTTTGTAAATATCAGTGTGACTTCCAAACAGAAACACAGTTTCAAATACAGAATTCTAAACCATAACAAACTCCTGGGAGAAGCTAAGAAGTCGAATGTCCAGAGAGCCGATTCAGCCAAACTGTAGTGTGTCAAGTAGGTGTCCTTTATTAAGTTCTGTGCTAGATTGGGTAAGAAACAGCAATTGCTTCCAAGAGAGAGGTTGCAGATTACTAGGAAAGCCACAAATTAAACACCCAAGTAAGCAAGTATATACTGCAGGAGATGTTGACGATCAGGAATAACCAGGTGAGTTCCTTTCCTAAGTTCTCTTTAGATCCTCTTCTTAGGTGGAGTGAGGTTGGGGTGGTTGGCTTGTCACTGTACCGTTACTTTACAGGGCAGACAGAAAGGTTAAGGCCAAATTATAAAAGCCGGGTGGCGATGAAGACTTCAGATCTTTTGGGGGGCGCACTGTTCATTGAAATCAAAAGTCTTCCTGTCCTACTGACTGAGCTAGCGGGTACACTATTTAATATTAAGTAAATGAATTTATTGTGAGACAGGGTCTTTTTATGTAGTCCTGGAACTCCTGTAAATCACAGAAATCCTCCTGCCTCTGTCTCCCGAGTGCTGATATTAAAGGCGTGTGTTACCACTCCCGGCTTCTTCGTTGAAATTAAAAAGGGTTCATCTCTACACAAATGTTTGGGCAAATGTCAACAAAGAGCGCTGCGTATTCCCGCACGCGCAACACAGGCGACCGGAGCTAGGAAAGTCTCGGATGTAGGCGGGGTTTGAGGTCCCGGATAATACGTCACGGAGGGCGCGTGCGTGATGCAGCTGGGAGGGCGCGTTGGGACCCGGTTCCGGATGGCGATGGTTTGCCAGTCGTGAGCGAGCATGGAGACCGCTGTGGGCTCCGGGACCCGTCCCGTGGGCGCGGGAACGCTTGCAGACGTGGGGGCCCCGCCGGGCTTGCAGACTGACTGCGAGGCGCTGCTCAGCCGCTTCCAAGAACTGGACAGCGTGCGCTTCGAGGACTTCGCGGAGCTCTGGCGCAGCATGAAGTTTGCGACCATCTTCTGGTGGGTGTCCCTCGCTGCCCAGCGGGGGGCGCGGCCCGGGTCCCCGACCTCCGCCTGGGCGATCTCCCTGGCTCTCCCTGGCGCTCTGCTGGCTCGCTCCTCTGCATCACCCATGGCCTCCATCCTCACCTAGCCTTTCCACCTCCTCCAGTCTTGTTCGCCTTGAATAAATCCAGGGTTAGAAACAAAGCAACCACACCGAGACAGGGTCCTCCTTGAATGAATTCATTTAGCAGGCAGCAACCAAAACTGGAAGTGCAGATTTGAGCCTCCGTTTAGCGATTAAAGGTGGTAAAGTCCAGCTTCAGCCGAGTGGCTGCTTCTGTCCGCAACTTCATTTTCAGCGCTCACACTTTATGTCATTTTCTTGCCCCCGCGCTGCCGTTGGTCCTCCACTGGCGCTGCCTAACCTTGGAGTTTCCTCCCTCTTTTTTTCTTGTTCACTTCTTCAGCCATATTTAAACCCAGATGACAGTTCTTGGGAAGTCTTTTGCTCTTGTGAACTAAGTGAGAGTTCGTGTTCTATTCACCACCACCCCCCTCCCCCGCAAGCCCCATGTGCTTATCTCACCTGCCACATTGTTTTGTAGTTGGAGACCCAGTGTTGGATAACGGTGAAGAGCACAAATGATGGGTCCCAGGTATTAGAATTTGAATTCAGCTCCCCAACTCTCCCCCACCGAGATCTGGGACAAGCTTTTTTATTTATTTATTTATTTATTTTTGTCTGTGAAATAGACATAAAACTTCATAGCAGTATGAAGTTTTAAATGAGGATTAAATGAGCCAATGTGTTTGGTGTGTCCCACATTCGGAATTAATGTTCAGCATTATCACTACTTTTTGATTTCCCCCTTAGATTGAACCTTGTGGAACAGTGACTTGATCAATGTGGTATTTCTTCTTGTTTTTGTTTTTGATTCATGACCTCATTGTGTAGCCCTTGCTGGCCTGAAATTTGCTATCTAGACCTTGAGATGTGCCTGCCTCTTCCTTTCAAGGGCAGGGGTTATAGGCATTCACCACCATGCCCAGGTTTGAATATGGTGATTGTATTAATTATCACAGCGTATCAATTATTGAAAAGGCTAAATGATTGAATGAAACTTCATTAGAACTTTTTGCTGAGTAAAATAGAAAAAAAATAAAAATTAATTCTAGTGATGTAAACTAATTATTGTATAGTTTGTGAATTACAGGGATGAAGGATAAAGATATTAGCTGTTCATGGTGCTGAATACCTCTAAGCCCAGAATTGGGGGAGGTGGAGGCAGGAGAATCAGGAGTTCAAGGCTGGTCTAGAATTCTCTTTGTAGTTCAATTCCCAGCACCCACATGGCAACTGTCTATAACTCCAGTTCCAGGGAATCTGGCACCCTCATATAGACACACATGCAGGCAAAATACCAATGCACATACAAATGAACAAATCTTAAAGTGTGACAACAGGGCCAAATGAATGAGGGTACCCATGGGCCCCAGTTATTTAAGTCTTGGGGGGTGGCATGTACCTTTAATCCCAGAGGAATTAATTTTGGAGGCAGAGGTAGGTGGATGTCTGTGAGTTAGAGGCCAGCTTGGTCTACAAGCAAGTTCCAGGACAGTCAGGGCAACATGGAGAAACCCTGTCTTGAGAAACCAAAAACAAAAAATAAAAGTACACACTACCTTGCCCAGGCTATTTTCTATTATTTATTTATTTACCTTTTTGTCATTTCTGTTTCTAAAATCCATAATCTTTCACTGTAGTAAAGGGGGAGGGGGTGACACCAAGGGGGTTTATCTAGGCTTTTCTACTGGAGGGGTGGAGGGCTTTATCTTCATCATCTTCCTCTTCCTCCTTAACCCACTCACCGCCCCCCCCCCTTTTTTTTTTTTTATTTTGAGACAGTGTCTCTCTGTGTAGCCCTGACTGTCCTGGAACTCAGGATGTAGACCAGGCTAGCTTCAAATTCAAAGAAATCCATCTGCCTCTGCCTCCTGAGTCTGGATGCTGGGATTAAAGGCATGTGCTGTTACACCTGGCTGGATTTTCTGTAGGAATCATTGTGGTCTCAGTACCGTGGTAGGTATTTCATGTTCTTTTATTGTACTTATTATATCTACTGTTTGAGAGCCAAAGTGCTCTCCTCCCTCATCTGTAGAGAGATGTAATAGATTGCACTGGCTAAAGGGCTTAGGTCTTTAATGCAGTATACTTATAGCTATGTGGATATCAGTTGCTTGCGTGTGTTGAGTGTGTCTTCAGGCATTTTAGCTAAGGTTACATTTAAAGACTGACTTTGTTTTATCAAAATAGGATCTGGCCATGGCAGCCTGCCTCTTGTCTTCTGAGTGCTGGAATTACAGTTTGGGCCACCATGCCCAACTTCTTGTTTTGTTTGACACTGGGTCTCTTGTAGCCCAGACTGGCCTGGACCTCAGCATGTAGCCAAGAATGACCTTAAACCTTTTGATCCTTCTGCCTCCATTTCTCAGTTACTGGCTTTTTATACATGGAGAACATTTTTAATCTGCTAATTTAGGGTCTATCATAAAACACTAACAAAATTGCCTTCATTTTTTAAAAATTATTTATTTATTTATTTGTATTTTATGTATATCGGTGTTTTGCCCACAAGTATGTCTATGTGAGGATATCGGATTCCCTGGAACAGGAATTACAGACAGTTGTAAGCTGCTGTGTGGGTGCTGGGAATTGAACCCAGGTCCTCTGGAAGAGAAGCCCATGCTCTTAACCACTGACCCATCTCTCCAGCCCCCACCTTCATTGTTTTATTCAATTTTAAGAGGAACACCACACTGGCTTTTGTGTTCTGGTGAATGGGAGGATGGGCTATGTAGGGTTATTTCTCTTAACTCACGCTTAACCCTTTTGTTTCGGAATATTTGTACACCATGTGAAGATAGATGTGTTGCTATGGTTGGTATAGTAAAAAGCTGAATGGCCAGTATCGAGGCAGGAGGAGGTAGGCAGGATTTCTGGGGAGAGAGAGAAACTTGGAGGCGGAATCTTGCTAAGGCATTTGCCAACAGACTTGGAGCAAGTTGAGCTTGCTATACTGAGGAAGGGTAGAAGCCACATCGCAAAAGGTAGATTAATAGAAGCAGGTTAATAAAGTTGTCAGAATAGTTAAAAGATGTTCATAATTAATAAGATGTCTCCGAGTTGCTGGTGATCCGAAAATAGTCTGACAAGAAAGCTTGTTGCATCCTGGGGCCTGTTGGGGGAGTGCATGTTACCGAGTAAAATTTTTGAGTCTGTAACAACCACGACTGTTTTAACAGTCAATGTTTTAAATTCTGGATCTGAAGCCTCTTCTGCAGTCCGCAGTTTGGCATCAAGGCTGGCGTTTTGGTGGCAGTGTCACAGTTACCTGACAATGTGTGGTGACAGGCACGGTAGAAAATGAGTGCTTTCTGCTCGACTCTCAAGAGGATCAGGTGTGGCTTCTCCTCCAGCCCCCAGTAGTTACAGAAGCATGTGCCTCCAATAACTTCTGTCCATCATTATGTAACAGTGGGCATATTTCCTTTTTTGTTTTACAGTGGCAAGATGAGGAACTTAAAAAAGAACATGTTTACAAAAGAGGCGTTGGCTCTGGCCTGGCGCTATTTTTTGCCTCCATACACCTTCCAGATCAGAGTTGGGGCTTTATATCTACTGTACGGGTTGTATAACACGCAGCTGTGCCAGCCAAAACAAAAGGTTGGTGAATTAGTTTTCCCCAGTAGATACTTGAACCAAGCACTGTATTTTATGAACAATAAAGGACTTTTGTGGAAATACCAGTGATTTGAGTTTATGTTCCTGGAAAAAGGTCCAGTCCATTTCATGAAGTAGCTTCTCTCCTGTTGGTTGTAGATCAGAGTCGCCCTGAAGGACTGGGATGAAGTTATTAAATTTCAGCAAGACTTGATAAACGCACAGCATTTCGATGCAGCCTTCGTTTTCAGGAAGCTTCGGCTAGACAGAGCCTTCCACTTCACAGCAATGCCCAAGCTGGTATGTTGCCTTAAAACAAAATAAAACAAACAAAAAAAGCATGCATTTTCAAAACAAGCAGTTACATTTTGTTGTCCATGGCCTTCTTCATTCTCCTGGAAATGTGAAGTCTATTAGTGGTGATGAAAACTGTAGCCCTTCTTATGATAAGAAAAATATTTTCTGATTGTTTTCTTTCCCTGCAGACAGAATTGAGCCTCTGCTCTTGAGCACAGGGTATTTGTGGATAATACATACAATGCCAGATGTTGAGTGGGAAGAGATCTGGCATCTGTATCTGCCTTTTTTGTTTGTTTGTTTTGTTTAGTTTTGGTTTTTCAGGACAGGGTTTCTCTGAGTAACAGTCCTGGCTGTCCTGGAACTCACATTGTAGACCAGGTTGGCCTCGCACTCACTGAGATCCACCTGCCTCTCCCTCTCAAGTGCTGGGGCTAAAGGTGTGCGCCACCACCGTTCGGCTGGTATCTGCATTTCATCTCTCCAGAGCCGAAGGTTTAGTCCTGATCTAGGAAGTTAGCAGTCACTGAGCTGGCCTCTTGTCTTTTTACATTGTGTAGTCATTTGCAAATGTGCCTTTCTATGTTTGAGTGTCAAGGGGACTTGACAAAGGTATTTAAATCTCAGTCGGTAAAAAATTGAAATTTCTAATAAAACCTACTCATTTCTTGAGTTTTATAACAATTGAGACACTAGCCGGGTGTCGCCTTTAATCCCAGCACTCGGGAGGCAGAGGCAGGTGGATCTCTGTGAGTTCGAGGCCAGCAAGTTCTAGGACAGGCTCCAAAGCTACAGAGAAACCCTGTCTTGAAAACAACAACAAAACCAAGAAAACAATTGAGACACTAGATCAGAGGAGCAAATCCTGGCTAATCAAGTGACTTTTCAAAACTGGGCAGACTCCGTAGCATGCATGTGGCATCTGACACTTAACAAATATCTGACAAGCTCTCTACTCATGTGAATTTACTCCTAGCTTATATTTAAGCACTTTCAAAATGCCCTTTAGTAGATGTTTAACATTTTTGAATGTTGGGTTTGTGCGTGCGTATGTGATGCTGTAGCTGGCCCATGTTGCACTGTGCACATGAGTGTCTGTCCTCGCCTCCCCCCTCCTCTCCCCCCGTGCATGTGTGTAGTCAATAGGATGACTTTGTGATGTTTGTGTTCTCCTTCAACCTGGATGGGGATTCCAGGGGTCTACTCAGCTGAACAGGGTTACTCAGCAAGAGCCTTAGCTCTCGGAGGAACCGTCTCTCCAGCCCAAGACATTCATTTTAAAAGGCATTCTTTGTATTTAGCTTTCATGTAGAATGAAGAAAAAAATTCAACAGACCGAAGTGACCCAAAAATTTAAGGACCCAAATGATCGTGTGATGAAACTTATCACTTCTGATGTTTTAGAGGTGAGTTTGTTCTTATACCCTTGAAGCTGAAGAAGTGGTTTTATTGACAATAAGTGCTGAGATTATACCTTTCATTAACTGGATATTGACAGTTTCTGTATGATGTTAGCATATATCCAGTCAATTCATAGTCACTTTGGAATTCGTTTGCTTTTAAGATTGTCCTCAAAAGATGGAAATAAAGACCAAGTGTGGTGGTTCATGCCTACCATTATACCATTAGCCTGGACTACATAGCAAGACCCTGTCTCTTAATATAAAACAAAAGAACACATATATAATACACACACACACACACAAAACAAACAAACAAAAAAACCAAAAACCAGCCCCAGTATTCATAACAAGAAATACAGTGTTTCTGTTTTTCATTTTTAGGAAATGCTGAATGTTCACGACCATTATCAAAATATGAAGCGTGCTATCTCAGCTGATAAGTCCATGCCAGACAAAGCCCTCAGCCTGGTAAAGGAGGATTTTTTTGACAACATTAAGAACATAGTTTTGGAGCATCAACAGTGGCACAAAGACAGGAAGGTAATTACTTGCGTGTTGCTGCCCTACCCCTACATTGTGTACAGATGTTTAAATGTGAGCAGTACTGTAGGTAGAGAAGGCAGCTTGGCATAGTTGCTGTCTGGCTGTCCCGTGAACATTTAGAGCGCTTTACCCTTCTAGTTAGGGCTCTGTCACTTCGGTCTTACAAGTGGCTGTGGGAGAGAGTAAATCTTTTTGAACTGTTTTTAGACTGCATAGTAGGGGACATTGTATGCCAATGGATGCTTGTCTCTGTCTCCAGCACTGTCTGGGGAACTAGCCAGTCAGCAGAGTTTCTCCATGGCATCTGCTTCAGTTTCTCTCTGGTGCCTCCCGAGTCCCTGCCCTGACCTCCCTTCATGGCGGACTGCACGTAGCTGTAAGGTGAAATACACACTTCCTCCCCGAGTCGCTTTTGGCCATGGTCTTTATCACAGCAGTAGAACAGATGATGACCCATGCTGCAGTAATACGAAACGACCTTATGGTTTTTCAGTAATTAAAAGTAACTATTCTTCACTGTTAAAACTGTAATCCACAGCTGGGCGGTGGTGGTGTGAGTTCAAGGTCAACCTGGTCTACAGAGTGAGTTCCAGGACAGGCTCCAAAGCTACACAAGAGAAACTCTGTCTTGGAAAACCAAAAAACAAGGAAAGCAAACAAACAAACACAAAAACACAAAAAACCCAAACAAACCCCCCCCAGTAATCCACTAATTATCTGAAATTAATGGCATTATAAATGTGTGTATATTAACATACATAAATAACGTTTTTGTTCTTTCAGAATCCGTCCCTAAAAGCAAAACTTAAAGAGGGAGAAGAAGACAGTGAAGGCACGTCACAGGAACCAGAGGTCAGCAGACTGTTAAAGGCAGCGTCTTTCCCTTTCATGTGTAACTAATCCCTTTTTTAAGCGTAAGGACCCTTGGTCTGATGTTACTAAACGGGAAAATTCCATTCTGTGTGTCCTGAGGTAGCCAATCAGTTGTGTACCTCAGCGGTGAGGAGGGCACCCTGAGTGCAGGTCTGGAGAGGTAGTAGCTGTTCTGAGCAGGTTGGGGCAGGGTGAGGGAGTGCTCTTCATTCTCAGGGGCAGGGTAGGCCTGTGTGATAGCTTCCTGCATGTCAGCCTTTCAGGCCATGTGATACTTGGGTGCTTTTTGCATTTACTCATGTTCAGTGTTTCATCTGTCTTGGGGACTCATCGTTAGGCACAGGCAGAAGCGGGAATGACAGCCAAGAGCTCTGCACAGTCCCTAAGGCTGTTGTCCCCACTTCATGAGTCTTGAAGGAAATGGTCCACAGCTATGAGGATGGCATTATGTCACTCGCTCGCTGTGCCGGCAGGGAGAGCGTGTGATTTTATGTTCATGCGTGTCTAAATATGATGGTTTCTTTTATTTTACCTTTGTCACACATCTTAACTAACCTTGACTGTAGCTCCTTGGACTTTTGTAATTTCCCCAGTGTTTCTATCTGAACTTTGCTTTTCCTTGTTTATTTTCCTTCCAGAGATGTGAAAGAGCCGAGTCTTTGGCAAAAATCAAAGCAAAAGCCTTTTCAGCCGTTGCTCAGGTAGGTTCCTTGTTCAGTAAGCCAGCGGACGGTCTGCTCGCCCCTAAGTGGCAGATTAGTTTTCACCCACGCAATCCACATACACAGTTTGACTCAGTCCGGTCTGTACCTGGGGAACAGCCTTGCCTTCACCTCCTGCCCGGGGTACCTGGCCCGGGGTGCCTGGCCCGGGGTGCCTGGCCCGGGGTGCCTGGCCCGGGGTGCCTGGCCCGGGGTGCCTGGCCCGGGGTGCCTGGCCCGGGGTGCCTGGCCCGGGGTGCCTGGCCCGGGGTGCCTGGCCCGGGGTGCCTGGCCCGGGGTGCCTGGCCCGGGGTGCCTGGCCCGGGGTGCCTGGCCCGGGGAGGCACTGCATGCTTCTCCTCCTCTAGCTCTTGGCTTTGCTCTTTTCCAGAGTGCTGAAGCCAAGTTCTCCATCCTCTTCCACCTTCTGGGCCGGTACAGGAGGAATGGGAGTTTGCTCTTTGTCCCCAAAGTTCAGAAGTCCTTGGATTTTTATTGGTTGTTGGCATTCAGCTGGTCATCATTTCAGCCTGAGACCTTTGTGCCTGAAGAATCTTTTTAATTATCATTATTTTTTTTTTATTGTATCTTTTTTTCTCTTTACCCTTCTTGTTTTTGCTTAGCTGTTTTCAGTCTGTTTCTGTTAGGGTGTTTCTTAAACATTAACTTCTTGGCCATTGATTTTTGTTGTTTGTTTTTTAGTATTTGTGCTGACATTTTTTTTTTTTTTTTAAAGCTGAGACTATTCTTATTCTTTGAATGTTTCCTTAAACATGTTTTTGCCTTTCCCCCCCACAGGATACAATATCTGTCATTAAGGATGTTAATTTAATTACAGTTTTCGATGTTTCCTCCCATTCCCTTTGAAACCTTTTCTGTTTATTTTGGTCTCTGCTTTTCATTCTCTTGGCTTTGTTCCAGAAGATCGGAGCTCTTCAGATGTCTCTGTATATTGAGGGACTAACAGTTGATGCAGGCTTTGAATTCCTTCATTTCTGTTTCTCGGTTCTAGTCATTTTACTGAAGAGGAGGCTTCCATTCCCTTTTCTGAGAAAGGAGGGCTGGAAGCAAGCCCAGCTTCAGTGTTTCTGGAGCTTCCACGGGTTAGTCAGGAGGCATTGCGTCCTCTTCAGGCTGCTAACTCCTCCACTGTGCTGTCTTTGGGTTTTTTTTTTGCCTCCCTCCCTCTTTTCATTTATTATTAAAATCCTAACTCTCTCTGGTTTGTTCTTCCCAGAGAACAGACTCCTGTGGTCCATCACCAGCGTTGAGGTTGGGGAGCAGGACGTGGTTCCCAATGTAGATTTTTACTGCCTCCCTATGGTTTTTGTGCAGTTCTAGTTTGAGCTGTGTTTTGTAGCGGTTCTTGTGTGGCCGTTAAATTTTTTTTTCTTTTTTCTCTTTTTTCTTTTCTTTTTCTTTTTTCTTTTTTCTTTTTTTTTTTTTTTTGAGACAGGGTTTCTCTGTGTAACTTTCTTTATACACCAGGCTAGTCTCCAACTCCCACAGACCCACCTGCCTCTGCCTCCCGATGCTGGGATTAAAGGTGTGTGCCACCACCGCCTGACTTCATTCTTAATTCTATGTGTTTTTCTTGGACTTTGTGTGTGTGTGACTATTTTTATGGGAAAGCAAACATCATTTTCTGACTGTAAGAACAGAAAGTAATAACCAGTATTTGCGATGACTCTCCACTGGTTAGGGATAAACTGAGTATAAGACATTGAAAACACACCAAAAAAAGAAAAATGGATTATATTCAGTTCTTTTTAACCAGAATTCTCTTTATGTATGGAGAGAATGTGTTGTCAAATGATGTCTAATGTATATCTTGAGACATCAGATAATTTTGAAAATATAATTGCATCATGCCCCACAAGTTGCTCCAAGTATATGATTGCACAGCTGTAGTTTTTTCCCTCTTGAGGTGCAGCTGCATCTCACATAATTGCTCTGGAATTCTTGATGATAAGGTGTAACTCTGTGACTTCAAGGCCAGCCTGGTTTATATAGTTTATATAGCCAGGGCTACTTAGAGGGACCCTGCCTCAAAACAACAGCAACAAAGCCCTTAGCTTGCTGTGGTTTTAGAAACCATTAGGACTGGAACTTCCGCCCTCACTTTTCCTGTGTTTCTTTTCAGTGCTGTTCAAGGTCCTGGCTTTGGGGTCGAAGCTGGTGTCCCTTCCTGGTAGTTAGAGCTCTGAAAACGCAGTGAACAAGTCACAGTGTTCTGGGTGTGTAAAACCCATCTTGACTAGTCTGGCCACAGGGTCATATCTGGGTCTAGACAAACAGTGGGAGGCGTATTACCATTAGTTCACCCTCACTCTTCATTGGCTAACCATTCTAGATTACAGCAACTGCATTTTAACCCATTGTGGGCAAGCTGGTGGTGAGGCAGCTGTTGAAATTGGTTATAAAGGTAAAAGTCCATGTCTGTATACGAACTATATACAGACCAAGTCCGGTAACAGTAGAGGGCATGATGACACGTGTTTCTGCTTTCCTCACCTTTGTGGTCTGTCCCTTGGGTCTGTTTTGTCATGCCTTGTGAGTAATTGGATTTCTGTTAATAAGGTGTCCAAGTCCAGGAGGCATCGCCAAGCCAAACTTGACTCTTCTGACTCTGATTCTGGGTCTGGACAAGGGAAAGGCAAAGCAGCTAAGAAAAAAAGAACCAGAGAGACAGCGGCAGAACGAGCAGGAGGGAAGAAGGCTTCCAGAAGCACAGGTACTTTGGTTTAAAAGTCTTACTAAGGCCTGGCAAGAGTGAGTAGGTCCTTATTTCTAGGCTGGGTTAGAGCTGGGTGTGGTGGGAAGACATTTGTAATACTAGCATTCAGGGGGCTGAGGCAGGAGGATTGCCTGCTTAAGGCCAGCTTGAACTACATAGTAAGATCCTGTCTCAGAATAAAAGAGATTTGTGTGGGAGCATCATATGGAACTTAATATTAAAAATGAACCTATTTTCATAGCTTCTTGTATTCTTGCTGCAAAGAGACCCTAAAGATTATATCAAACTTCCTATTCAATGTAACTATATTAGTAATGATGTGTGCGAATTAAATTACAGCTAGGAAAGGCAAATAAGTAATGCAGCCTATAAACTACCTCCTTTAGTTACATTTATTAGGCTCTCTCTGTTTTTCCTTTGTAATAGAGTATCTGCAAAATGACATTATCATTTGATGTCTAAATGGCCATGTATTTTAATGATCAATGTTTCAAAAATTGAATAGATGCTATATACTCAGCACAGCTAAGGTTGGAATGCGTTAGTGGCAGAAAGCACAATAGAAACACTCACAAATACTTAATAATTTTATCAGACATTCTCCTAGCTACCTCAAGGGTTTGGGAAAGTAATTTATAGCCTGTAAACATGTTTCGTTTTTCCTGTATTGAGGCAGTGGAGAGTTGACATTAAATAGCTTCAGTGTATGTCAGGTATGACTCTGTGCTGTGATGGTTGCTAGAGTGCAGTAAGAAGTCAGAGGAAGAAGCCATGGTTGTTAAGGGTAGCCAAGAAGTGCTTTCAAAGGAAAGCTTGCTCCTCAGGAGCTGGCAGGCACAGTGAAGACTGCTCTGGGGACAATCTTGAATTGTGAAAAAAAAAAAAAAAATCCTACAGTACAAAAACAGGCCCCCAAACCAAAAGCTCTTCCTGAACCCAGTTGTTCTAGGATGCAGTCATGATGCAGTTAATTGGAATCTATTAATATAATTTACCTTATATCAGCCTAAAGAGGGAAATATATAAATTGTAATAATTATCAGAGAAGGTACTGGATACTATCTAGTAGCCATCCTTGATTTTAAAAACTCTCTAGATTAGGGGTTAAAGGTTCAGATAGCCTGTATTTTAGACTTCTTAGGTTAAACAACTTTCTTCACAGCTTAGTCATGCAGCTACTGGTATAATGTGGAAGTTGCTACAGACAATGTGAGAACAAATTAATATATTCCAGTAGAAGTACAATTCTAAGTAGGTGATGGGTCAGGTTCACTACAGACAGAGCCCTATCAACCCTGCCCTGAAGAAAAGAAATAGATACTCCTTTAATTTTAATAAAGACAGACAGACAGCCTGACATTAGCAGTGTTATACTAGAAGACTGCTTTATCTAACATTGTTAGTTGGTGTGATTGGGAACATGAACTTGTACATTATCAGAGAAGCTACACAGTTTCCCTGATATGTGAATAGCCAATGCTGTATGTAAAAGGTATTGTAGAATTAGCTGGACAAAAAAAGTAAGAGCAAACATTTTAGTAAAGTAAGAGATCCTGTTATAGAAGTTAGAGCTGAAAGTGTTCATAAAGAGAATCTGGTAAGTTTAGTAGTCTAGAAAGTTAAATAATGACAGATTACAAATTTTTCCTAAGACACAAAATGGGAAATCTGAACAACCTTTTATCTACTAAAGGAATGAAACTTGAAGATGCTCTACTGGACATCTTTGTAAAATTGTTTTGTTCAGTCCTGGGAACTGATTGGATTGTGTGCACACCTGCCACCACCCACATCTCTAGTCCTCAGCTCTTTGAGACAGGCTGTGTAGCTCAGGGAGGCTTTGAAGTCTCAGCCATCTACCTCAGTGCTCTGTGTGCTGGGGTTAGTCATGTGCCATGGTACCCAGCGTATAGATGCTTAGGAAAAGAGTAATGTTCCTATACAAATGCTTCCAGAAAATAGAAGAGCTGCTTGTTATTGCAAGAAATGAAAACTGAAGACCAGTACCTTTCATGAGCAAACTTCCTTGCTAGATAAAGCAGATCAAATCCAGCAACCTATTGGAAGAACACATTATAAACAGTAAGAAATAATCCAGCATAATTTATATTATCTGATTAAAAGAGAAACCCTGTCACAGATAAGGGTATCTGCCAATCTATTATCTGCTCATGGTAGAAACAATGAATTACTATTAGATGGAAAAGAGCCTAATGGAATTGTGGCAGACACAGACTTTCACATCATCCTTCATGAGGGCCCTGGGAATTGAACTCTCTAAGAGCAGCCAGTAATTGTAGCTCCTGATCTTTTTTTTCCAGTTGAGTGGGTAGTCACTATTGAGAGAACTACTCATTCTCGATATGAGGTCTTTATCGGTAATCAGGATTGTATTTTGCATATATTTTTTCTAGGCTATAGCTTGATCTCTCTCTCTTTCTCTCTCTCTCTTACAAAGATAAGAATTTTAGTGGATATGGTAGTGCACACCCTAAATCACAGTGCTAGGGAGTCAGAGTCAGGCAGATCTCTATGAGCTCCAGACCATACATGGATACATAGTGAGACCCTGTCTCAAGGCGGGGAGTGGGGGGGCATAATTTAAATTTTGTTTGTCATGTTTTGTTTTGTGAAAACAGCTTACCTTGGCTTTCTGTATGGACACAGGTGGCCTTAAACTCCTGAACCTCCTGCCTCTGTCTCCCTAGTGCTGGTAATGTATACACACATGTTACCACATTGGCTTAAGAATTTTAATTTTGAAGAAGTGCAATTTAACATTTTTTTCTCTTACAAGTCATGCTTTCTGTGTTACATGTAAAAAAAGTCTTATCTGAGAACTGATTTTTCAGTTTTGTTTTTTTTTCTCCTACACCTTTTGGAACTTTAAGCATCACTTTCATGTCTGTGCCACATCTGAATCACTTTGTTATTTATGCAGTAAAACTGTGTCAGCGTTGTTTAAGACAACCCTTTCTCTACGAAATGGCCCTCACGCTTTAGTCAGAAATAAAACTGAGAGACCGTCTCAATGGCTCCTCTGGTAAAGGTGCTTGCTGCCAAGCCTGACAGCCTGAGGTCAGTCTGTCTGAGAGAACCAGTTTTCAGATGTTGTCCTCTGATCCCCACATGTACACTGACACACGTGGGCATCCGCATGTACACTGACACACGTGGGCATCCGCATGTACACTGGCACACATGGACCTCCGCATGTACACTGGCACACGTGGGCATCCGCATGTACACTGGCACACGTGGGCATCCGCATGTACACTGACACATGTGGGCATCCGCATGTACACTGGCACACGTGGGCATCCGCATGTACACTGACACATGTGGGCATCCGCATGTACACTGGCACACGTGGGCATCCGCATGTACACTGACACACATGGACCTCTGCATGTACACTGACACACGTAGATCTCAATGCCACATGCACATTCACAGTCACAAAAAGATTTTATTGTTGTTGTTGTGTATGCATGATGCATGCGTTTAAGAACCACTTTGTATTTATTTTAAAAATCTAGCAGGGCTGGAGAGATGCTTCAGTGGTTAGGATCACTGGCTGTTCTTGGGACCGAGGTTCAGTTCCCAGCATCCACATGGTAGCACATACATACCTGGCTGTAATTTCAGATCCAGGGGATCTGATGTCCTCTTCTGGTATTTTTGGGCATTAGGCACACAAATGGTACACAGACATACATGCAGGCAAGATACCCATGCCCATAAAATAAAAATAAATCTTTAAAAATCTAGAAGAAGTTCATAGACTTAGAAAAGCAGAGGAGATGGCTTGGAAAGGACAGACAGTATCTGGGGTGTATAGAGTGAGATCCATTTTGGGTCACACAGAAACACTGTTAACTTTTAGTAATTCTGGAAAAATATGTTGAGTATTATATCACAGCCTGACCTCAAAAATGAAGTCAGCATCCTAGGTTTAACACAGTAGGTAGAGATGAGTGACATGACTTGAGTGTCCTTGAAAACCAGGAGTACCATGGTATGGTAGGTTTGAGTTAACAGACTACAGTGGGCTGCTGTGGTAGCTCAGGTTTAGGAGTAGGTCATAATGGCCTTGGTTGTAGGAACTAGAGGGCATCTTGACAGTTATGCAGGGGGATATGGAGGCTGATGTGGGGGATGAGATAGGCATGCTAAGTCTCAGCTTGTGGAGGATGCTGGTGGGTAAATGCTGGGCAAGTATGGGTGGCATGATGATTTCATATGGGGATAATTTGCTCAGTCTCTGGCCATATTCATTTCTTGACTGTCTGTCCTTGAACTTGATATGTGTGTGTGTGTGTGTATGTGTGTGTGTGTGTGTGTGTGTGTGTGTGTGTGTGTGTGTGTATGTATGTATTCAAGGAGACTTTGAACTTCTGATCCTCCTGCCTCCGCCTCCCTAGATGTGGGCCACCATGTCTGCTTTGTGGTGCTGGGTATTGAACACATCTATAGATGTGTCCCATGCTACGTTAACTCTCTACTGACTGAGCTATATCCCAGCCCAATGCCAGTGTTTTTGGAAATGGAAATTCACTTGCTGATACGACCAAAGAAGCATGTGAGCATGTCTGATGTAATAAAAGAAAATGGCTGCACTTAAAAATAAAACTGAAGCTCTTCAGCTTTAAGTTACTATAAGGTTGAAGTTATATGTGATCAGTCCTCTAGACATCCTGTTTTGTGTGATAAAGACAAATGAGGTATATCTCACTAATTTTGTTTTTTCATTCTCCATTTCATCTAATGGAAGAATTATATACTATATTTAAAGTACAGGTTTTGTTTTGTTTTGTTTTTGTAGATGCCAGGTTTCAACGTGTAGCTCAAGTTGGACTGGAACTTGCTATGTGGCCCAGTCAGGGCTCAGACTTGTAATCCTCCTATTTTAGCTTCTTGAGTGCTGGGATTAAAAGTTTTTCCTTCCTTCCTTCCTTCCTTCCTTCCTTCCTTCCTTCCTTCCATCCATCCATCTATCCATCCACATGAGGCTGGATCTCACTACTGTAGCCCAGGCTGGCCTCAAAGTAAATGTCCTCCCTAGTGCTGAGGTTATAGGTGTGCCGTGCCCAGTGACACAAATATTTCACTACTTAAGAAAAGCTTTGAGGGATATAGAGAAGGGGACCAATCAAGGCTAAGGATGAAAAGACAAAAGTCATAAGGAAACCGGGTACTTGGTAAGCTAATGAGAAAATAAACATTTAAAGGGTTTGTATTCTGGAATGCATAATTATGTTATTATAATTTCAGTGTTGAAACATGTAAGATTAGTATTCTTGGTTTTTATATCCAGTCATGTCTCACTATTTCTAAATATTTCTAGGTAATGTTCAGAATGAATGGAAGGAAGAGAAGTCTTTACACCTGAGCATGCCCATAATTGCAGAAGAGGAGGAGGAGACTGGCAATGACGTCAGTGAAGCAGGTACAGGTGCATCTCATAATTAGTACAGGAACTTAGGCTTGCAGAGTGGCAGGGTGAGAGCCCTCCCATGACAGGCAGCTCAGTTCTCCTGACCCCTGTCCTTCGGCTCATGGGAGCACGTCAGTGCTACCCTGGTAACCGTGCCGCTCTGCAGTTCATGGGCTGGACTTCTGTTGGGGATTCTGTTGGTGTCACTGTCTCAGAAGCTGCTCCCAGACCTCTGCCCTGCTGTCTTCTTGGTCCTGGCTGCTTCTCTTCTAGGACTGTCCTCTTTTTCTTCCTAGTCCCCACCTCCCCTCCCCTGGCATTCCCTTTTTATTTTTCACCAATGGGGAATTATTTCTCTTTCTCTTTCTAAGGTTCTTCTTCCTGTGTCTTGTTTAATGATGGTTATTTGCATGGCAGCTCTGCATTAGCTGTGAGAACCAGAAAGAGACAGAGGGCATACATATTGTGTTATGTTTCCTGGTTTCATTGTAATGGAATCGAAGTCTTCACTTCCTCTGGCATTAGTCTAGATAATTCTCAGTTATCTTGCCCTGGGTTCATGTTAATTATAAGGGAGGTGAACCCCTGGAGAAATTTCAAGCCACTTAATAATTATGAAGTAGGATTTAGAGTGATGGAGATCTCCTGTCTTATTGGCATCTCAGTAAGATTGAAATCTTGCTGTTTCATTGGAGATGGGAGTTTCTAAACTGCAATTTCATTGGAAGAAAGTCACATGTGTGTCACAGCTAAGATTTTTTTTTTTCCTGAAGTTAGTAATGAGGTAATGGGCTCCATTGTGTCATTTAAATATATATATTAAAAATAATTATACATAATACATGAAAATATATTGGTATTGTATACATACATACATACATACATACATACATACATACATACATATTTGTGTGTGCTGTTCATCTTCCTCTCCGCTTCCTTCTTGGATCTTGGCTGTGAGGACTTTGTTGGGTTAGACTAGTTAAACACTTTTACCTATTATTCGTTAAGCCTGTTATTTAAAGGTCAATTTTGAAAAAGAATTGATGGAATTCTTACCTTTATATCCATAGAGTTCACTGCACCCAAGAGGAAAAGAAAGCGATGACAGGAGTCTGGCGGAGTTTTATTTAAATTCTGATGAGCTTTCCTACAGAAGAACATGTTTATCTTGTTTTCAGCAGGAGGCTGGCCAGCACAGACTAAGGGGACTACCTCTGAGAACCAGGTCATTTCTGTGAAATGGGAGAGTTGGAGTAGACATTTACCCTGAAGTTTAACATTTCTGTTAAAAGTCTATGTGAATGGAGATAAAAGTTTGCATTTAGAATGTAAAGAAAGAACTGTGCATTTGTGGATTAATACTATTTCCCAAAAGTTCTTGTGATATTACCTTAATACAACACTGTATTGTTTAGTATGCTAGTTTTAAAACGTTTTCTTAAAGTACTTTTTATATATAAATGATTCATACCTGTCATCTAGCAATGGATTGGACTGTTGTTTTGGTTTAATATTTCATGTGTTATGGTTAAGTGCAATAAAATTTTTGTTCCACTTGCTATATGAAATTTGCGTGGTTAGTGACTTGACTAATAATTTTAGGACGTTTACACTCCTTTTGTACTTAATGTTGTATTCTATTTGTCCATTTACTAGACGGCATCTTGCTGTGTGTGCTAGGTTAGCCTGGAACCTTCCACACCCCTGTCTCAGCTTCCCCACTGCTGGGGTTGTAGACGTGCACCACCACGCCTCACTCGTTAGCTTCTTCAGTGTTGTTTTAAAGTTCCCATTGGTCTATTGTGTATGAATACCTATGTACATGTGTGTGTCCTTGTCTACATGAGATTAGTTAATAAATTCTTTAATGCTTATATACTACTTTCTAGTAAGCCTCGAGGAGCACTCAGAAATTTTAGAATGTGCCTTTGACACAGAATGTTTGTAAATCACAGAAAAAAGAAACTCCTGTAGCATCGTGCATGGGCTGTTCTTTTAATTTCTCCTTCTAGGAGTTTAAGTGGAAGTTGCTTGAGCTATATTTGGGTGCTGTCAGAAAGAAGTAGATCACCTCCATGGCATGCAGCTAGTTCAGCCTGATGTATAGTTAATTATTAAGGGTCAAAGTCTGGGCTGAAGAGATTTCCAAGTCTGATACAATTGAAAATATATATCTTGTATATATAGTATTTTAAGATCAAAACATCAGTGTTGACTTGGGTAGAACTTGGGTTTGTTACCCTCTTGGCTACTAGGACTAACTTCAGCTGTTTGATAACAGGGGTGGGGTGGGGTGGGAGGGTGGAGGGGGGTGGGGGTGGGTGGGGGTGGGTGGATACACTCCAGATGTTTATAGGCATTGTACAGTTGTAACACTGTATGGCTGAGTCATAATCTATTTTTCACAAAGCGTTTACAGAGTACGTGATATTATTTCACAGACTAAAGTGATGGTGAATAGTAATACAATATTTGAGGCAATACTTCCTGTCATAAAACAGAAAGCTTGTTTATGCAGCTCACTGAATTGATCAGACTAAGCTTGTGGTTCATTTGACAGCTGAAGGGAACCCTAATTCCCTGGTGTTGATTTTAACTAGGTATAATGTATACCTCTTTTCAGCCTAGCTTGGATATAGTGAAAAGATTGATACCTTTGTCTGTCTGTCTACTTAACAATCTGCCTTCTTTTTTCTGTTTGATTTTTGGAAACGGGGTTTCTCTGTGTAGCCCTTGCTGCCCTGGAACTCAACACTGTAGACCAGGCTAACCTTGAACTCACAGAGATCCATCTGCCTTTGCCTCCCAAGTCCTGGGATTAAACACATGTTGTACACCATCTGGCTCAATCTGCCTATCTCTTGAGAAAATATCTTAAAAATGAACTTTATGTACTGAAAATTACTTTTTATTTTTCCTAGCTTAGCTTAGGAAAATAACCATAGTTACTAATACATCCGTTACCCTTGATGCTTGAATTAAATTACAGTTTGAAGAAGCCTACTTTTTAAATGGCTTGGAAAGAACTCCGTGGGTGTTAACTATTCACATTTTCATTTGTCTTTTGAAAGACTATGTAGTAATCTTCATTGCACATTTTTCTTATTCTCTGTGTTAATGTAAATGTCAAACCCCAGACTTGAGGTTGTATAATCTCTTTTATGTGATATTTTTAAGTGCCTGAATTATTCATTCTACTGTGATGTGTATTACAGGTCTGAATTTTTATTTTAAGAGACGTTTGAGCAGGCTCCTTTCAGTTGGAAGAAACAAAAGCATCCTTTCACTCTTAAATGCTAGAAGCTCACCAAAAGAATACAGCTAAGTAAGTAAGGGACCCCATTGAAGACACAGCTTCCTCAAGGACTTGGGAAATAACCATAGGCCCCCTTTACACCAGCTGATGCTACCATAGGCCCCCTTTACACCAGCTGATGCTACCAACTGGGGTAGAGGTCCCTGGCATACTCGGTGTGACCTGTGTACACCACAGATGACATAGAAGGACCCGTCTGTGGCAGCTGTCCTGGAAAAGGTGAATGGGCTGGCATTTAGGACCTCAGGATTTTCCAATGCAATCATGATGTCATGCAGGAGGGACACAGACATTCCCTTCACAGACAGCCATACTGCACAGAGGTAGAGAGCATCTGCTCTGGGCAGCCTGGCTTTGCTCTGGCATTACACCTGGCATTTAATACATTACCATCTGTAGTAATTTGGGGCTGCATATACTGTAAGTCAGTGTTAGGCTGGCAAGGGTCCCCCCACTGAGCTATACCCAGTCCTTTGTTCTACTAGCTCAGTGTCACATGATGGACTTGAAATTTGCTCTATAGCCCAGACAGGTCTCCTCCTCTCTCAGCTTCCCGAATAGATGGCTGTATAGACTGCTACCCAGCCCAACTATCCTTGTTTTCAACCAACAGTTCTATGTTTACCCTTATATAAACCTTGTCCATTGCTCTTTATTTCTTTGTGAAAGCCATGCGTATATCTGCAATGGATCCCTTTCAATCTGAAGAAAACCCCGATTTCCTGAAGCTCAGCACTGTTGCAGACCAGTTCTGTCATACTTTCTTTGTCTGAAAAAATGTCATGCAGAAATATTGTCGTTTCTGAATGGTATTTTTTGTAGGATTTAGAATTCTAGCTAGAGCTGGGTGGTGGTGACGCACACCACTAATTCCAGCACTCGGGAGACAGAGGTAGGCAGATCTCTGAGTTCGAGGCCAGCTTGGTCTACAAGAGCTAGTTCCAGGACAGCCTCCAAAGCCACAGAGAAATCCTGTTTCGAAAAACAAAACAAAAATTCTAGCTAGATCCTCCCCCTCCCCCACTTTTCTGTCAACACCTGTAGGATTTTTCCATCCTATCATCTGATGGGAAACCATTGCTCTGGTTCCCTGGTAATCCTTTTGTTCGGCTGTGTTATGCTTTTATATTTTGGTGCTGAGGATCAAACCTACAGCTTTGCATATGCTCAGCTTTGCCAAGAGTTCCTCCAGGTCCTCTCTGGCTGCCTGCAGTCTGGTCTTTTGTTGTTATGTGTGTGGTGTGGTTGGGTTTTCTAACCCATGATGCCTACTGCACTGGCCTTTGCTTCTCTTTCTGGGGCTTCAGGTATGTCTGTTGGGACCATCTGTCTCATGGGTCATATTGTTTTCTCCAATAACAATTTTCCTGTGCTCCAGGGTGCCTATTGATCTGTCTTCAAGTTCATGATCTTTCCTCCTCTTGTACTTGATCTGCTTTTGATTTTCTCCAAAAGTTTTTAATTTAGAGGCACTGATTTTTAGTTCTGAAATTTCTCCTTGATTCCTTCCCATGGGTTTCTGTCTTGAAATGGCTTGTTTGCCATCCTCTCTAAGCATTTATTTATTTGTTTGTTTGTTTATTTATTTATTTATTTGGTGGGGTGGAGGAGTGCGTTGAGACAGGTCTCTCTATGTAACTCTTGCTGTCCTGGAACTTGCTATGTAGACTAGGCTAACCTGAAACTCACAGAGATTCCCCTGTGTCTCCAGTGCTGGGATTAAAGGCACGTACCACCTCACCCTAGTGGTGCTTTTAAAAAGTTTGTTTCTGAAGTACAGCACTTTTACTGGATCACATAAAGTATTTGTCACATGAATGTACCCTTCCAGGACTTGAACTGCCCAGGACTTTGTGACTCCGGCCACCTAACCAGCCCTAGAATCACTGGGTAGCTTTATGTGTTGCCAGAGAGATGAGAGCTTATACTCAGGTTTGGGGCACCGTTGCTGCTGGCTCTTCAGGGATTTCTCATCTTGACTTACCGCGCGCTAACAGCCAGAGAAAGAGGATTAGCTGTAAGGTGAAACAAATAAACACTTTCCTCCCAAGTTGCCTTTGGTCATGGCCTTTGTCACAGCAGAACAAAGCAACGAGGACACATTGTGACCAGAGAACTTAAGAGTTGATTTCTTTGAGAGAAGACGATGCCCACAGGGTGTATTAAACATGAACTTTTTATGGTAAATATATTTGTAAGTGATGTGGGTTTTGCTAAAGCTTCAGAAATTGCTCACGCTTTGTTAAAGGTTTTGGATGGTTGATTTAACTTAGTTGCAGCATAGTTGGTATATCGCCCCCCTTAGTAAGTATACACAGACAGACAATGGAATGTATTCTCTTTGTAAACTCCAACTGCTTCCATCCACCAAAGGGCTCTGAGGAAGAAACTTTTGTATTCAAAAATGAAATGCCCTGTCTTTTTTTTTTAAAGACCGTATTTCTAGAAAACCATCCTGTTTGCAACTTGATATGAACCAAGGAAACAACCAAAAGATTTAATCTGTCTCTGGTATATAACAAAACATTGAATTACTATGCTCCCAGTGAATAACTCTATTGTTCTTTCAACAGATTTTTTTTTGGTGTGCCAATATGATTTATTCTCAGTATTGTAGTCTAAGGAGCTGGAACACATCTCTCTGCAATGTTTCTGGGTCTGTGTAATTAGGGTTTAATTGCTTCAGAGAGGGAAATGAAACTAGAATGACTCCTCGGGGCTGTATTGTCAGAAAATCATCTTCTCTTATTCTTTGGTGGATTTACTCCGCACCCCTCCCCCTCCTATCAACCTTTAATAAAGTGAACAGAGGATCCCAGCCAATCTGTGCAGCCTGGGCGACCACAGGAAATGAAACAAGGCAGATGTGGGCATCTAAGGAAGGGCTTGTTAAGCTCAGAACTTGTGGCACCAGGAGGGGCCAGGTCCAGGCAGGGTGATGCTTCTTTCCACTTAGTTTTTTTTAGTTAATTTTCGCTTTTATTCCTTTTAATTTTTTTTAATTGTTAACTGCTAAGATGTTTTTGATGGTATGTATTCGTTGGTCAATTTTTCTAGATTTCGTTAAAAGATTCAAGCGTAGCTATTTTTACCTCCTGTTTCTGATCATTGCAAAATCTGAAATTCAGCAATCAGCCATGTTGCTCTGTAGTCTTCATGTCTGGTAGTTGGTCTCACTGGTGATTTCTACTGGGAGCTCAGATTCTCTTGACCAGAGTGCTGGGGCCTTACTGGACGCTTTCC